GCTATGTCTACCTAATGTTGCTCAAGATAATTATTAACCCCTGGTAAATACAATTTAATAGCCATAAGAAAAAGAATGAGTTATAATAATTTTCTGTAATCGCAATAATTGATTCAAAGCCGTGGTAACTTTCAACTTTATAACAGGATTACTTTGTATATCACATCTGTCACCTGCTTTTCAGGGCTATTGCTCACTCTGAAGCATACTGCCTGAGTGGTAGCCTGGGTCAGTAGATCAGCAAGAGCACTCAGAAAGTAGGGCTGCCTGGGTTGGAAGCCTGGCTTTGCCATTTACTTCCTGTTTCAGTTTAGTAAGTTATTTAATGTCTTTGCATCTCAGTTTCCTCCTCTGCAAGATGGGATTAAACTGTAGTGCCTGAGTGGCTCAGTTGGTTAAGTTTCCAACTTTGGCTCAGGTCACGATCTCACCATTCATGGGTCCAAGCCCTGCTTTGGGCTCTGTGCTGACAGCTCTGAGCCTGGAGCCTACTTTAAATTCTTTGTCTCCCTTGCTCTCTGCCCCTCCCCCCCAAAAAAATAAACAAAAATTTTAAAAAGATGTAAGATGGCAATAATGATAATACCTACTCTACATTATTATTTTAGAATTACATGATATTATAACACACTCAATAAATTCCAGCTATCACTGTTGTTATAGTAACATCTGCAATTTTGAGCATTTGCCCTTGTGACTTATTAATGGTTATGATGGAATAGATCCTCAGTCAGACATGCAGCTGTATGAAAATGAAGTAGTTTCAGTGCATCTATGTGTTTTATCTGATATAATTTCATAAGTATATACATGGGTTAAAAAAAATTCAAAATCATCTCTTTGAAAGAATAATAAACATAAGGAACTTGTCTATCCATGGAATGATGGCATTAGTTCAAATATGTAAGTTTTTAAACTCACCCAACTCAAGTCAACTGACCAAGTTCTTTTACAAATGTGTATCACACAACTCTATATGGAAGAAAAATAGTTGAGGTGCCTCACACTGTTCCCTCAAATAAGTGTCTTGTGGGCCATTTAACTTTTCTTTTCTATTGGACCAAGCCAAATGTGTTCTGAAATAAATAATGGGAACACAACTGCACCTATCTCATAAGACTGTTTTGAGGAATAAATGAGTGACTTTTCATTCCGTAGAATAGTGCCTGAACATGATTTAAGTCCTATGCTTGCTAATAAAGTGAAGTAAAAAAGAACAAATCATCCCAACGT